GATGCTGGGCATGATGGTGCATGCTTGTAATCCCAATACTCAGGAGGCTGAGGCAAGAGAACAGTGAGTACCAAGCCAGCACGGGCTACATAGTGAGATACCTTGTCTGAAAAAGAGGTGTGTGTGTGTGTGTGTGTGTGTGTGTGTGTGTGTGTATAAGAAAAAAGCACAGGAGTTTACAAAGATCTATAAAAGAACTTATAAATGATTTAGTTCAAGAAGTATGAAAATGATCTTTGAAAAAGAATTAGAAATACAAAGGGAAAAGTGAACATAAAGAATGGTAACAAAGATAAGTCCAAATAAGTACTGTTCAATAAAATAATACCGAGTCTAATTTGTCAAGATTTGAAAAAAGAACAGAAAAGTTGGTGCGATGGCTCAGTGGGTAAGGGCACTTGTCTGACCCAAGTTTGGATCCCAGACATACATGATAGAACCAACTCCTGTAATTTGTCCTCTGACTTCTACATGCATATGTAAGCACACACACACACAATAAATAAATGTAAAAAAAAAAAGTTAAAGGGACAGGTGTGGTGGCATACACCTTTAATCCCAGAACTTGGGAGGTAGAGCCAGGTGGATATCTGTGAGTTTGAGGTGAACTTGGTCAACATAGGAAGTTCTAGGATAGCCAGGGCTACATAATGAGGCCTGTCTCAATTTTTTTTTAATTAAAAAAAGAGCCAGGCATGGTAGTGTAGGCCTTTAATTCTAGCAGAGGCAGGTGGATCTCTGTGAGCTCAGCCTGGTTTACATAGCAAGTTCAAGACTAGCTGGGGCCAGATGGAGGCCCTATCTCAAAAATACCAAATAATAAATAAATAAATAAATAAATAACAGAAATGCTTAAAATGAGTAAGTTGGAAAGGAAAGCAACAATAAACTGGGAGGATGAAGATCAGAGCTCAAATAACACAAAATTGTCTTATTAACTAGAAAAGGAGAAAAAATATTCATCAATAAGCCTTTATTAGGTTAATTATACACATATAAATACACAGATTGCTAGGCACACAATTTTAATCCCAGAGACAGGCAGATCTCTGTGAGATTAAGTTCCAGGCCAGTTGGGGCTACAGGAAGACCCTATCTCAAAACAAACAAATTAAATAACAAATGGACTACTTAGAATGTGGGCCAGGGAGATGGCTCAGTGGTAAAGTGTCTGCCACATAGCCTCAAAACCTGAGTTCAATCCCTGGGACCCTCATGTAGAAGGAGAGAACTGACTCCCAAAAGTTGTCCTTTAACCTCCAAACACTCACTGTGGCACTTGCACACTCTCACACATAAATAAATAAGTAAATAATAAATAGTTTAAACTTTAATTTTAGGAGCTGGAGTTACCAGCTCATAATAAGCAAAACTACTTTGGGTAGTTCATAACCCACCTGTAGCTCTAGCTTCAGAGGATCTGGCACCTTCTTCTGAACTCCATGAGTACCTGCACTTACACATGCATATACCCACACACAGACATGCACATATACACATAATTTAAAATAAACACCAAGGGGCTGGAGAGATGGCTCAGGAGTTAAGAGCACTAACTGCTCTTGCAGAGGACCAGGATTCAATTCCCAGCACCCACATGTGGCTAACAACTCCAGTTTCAGGGAATCCGATGCCTTCTTCTGGCCTCCACCGGCATTGCACAACACAAGTGCACTTCCATACATGCAGGCAATACATTCATACACATAAAAATGATAAAATATTAAAATAAACATTACAAAATATTAACTTTGGCCGGGTGTTGTAGCACACGTCTCTACTGGCACTTGGGAGTCAGAAGCAGGCACATCTCTGTAAATTTTAGGCCAGCTTGGTCAGAATAAGGAGTTCCAGGCCAGCCAGGGCTACATTGTGAGCTCCTGTCTCAAAAACAAAAACTACTAATTTTAAAAAGCAGTCCTTGGGACTCAAGAGATGGTTTCATAGTTAGAGCACATTCTGGCCTTTAACCCAGGACCAAGGACAACTGGGTCCTCTTGCAAAGGACCTAAGTTTGGTTCCCAGCACTCATATTAGGTGTCTCACAACCACCTGTAACTCCAGCTCCAGGGGATCCTACACCTCTCGCCTCTGCAGAAACCTGCACTCACACGCATATACCGCCCCCCCGCCACATACATATATACACATAATTAAGAATAAAAATGAATCTTTAAAATAAATAAATAGATGGCTCAGGAGTTAAGAGCACTGGCTGCTCAGTTCCCAGCACCCACATGGCTGCTAACAACCATCCCAACTCCAGTTCTAGGGGATGTGATGCCATCTTCTGGCCTCTACAGGTATTGCATGACAGGGATGCACTTACATCCATGCAGGCAAGTCATTCATACATATAAAATAAAAACAAATAAGGGGCTGGAGAGATGGCTCAGCGATTAAGAACACTGGGTGCTCTGCAGAGAACCCAGTTTCGATTCCCAGCACCCATATAGCAGCTAACAACAGTTGGTAACTTCAGTTCCAAGGGATCCAATGCCCTCTGCTGACCTCTGTGGGTATTGCACGACATGGGTGCACTTACATACAGGCAGGCAATGCATTCATACACCTAAAATAAAAATAATAAATAAAATATATTTTAAAATTTAAAAGATGCTAAATAAATAAAATTTTTAAATCTTATTTATTTATTGTTGTGTTTGTGTTCATGCTTGCATGTGGAAGTCAGAGGTCAGTTTTCCAAAGTCAGCTCTCTCCTTCCACCTTGCTTTTTGTTTATTTATTTATTTATTTTTACGTGTATGTGTGTATGCTTGCATGAGTTCATGTACATGGAGGACCACACACAGGCCAGAAGAGAGTGTTGAATTCCTTGGAACTAGAGCTACAGACAATTGTGAGCAGCCATGTGGATGCTGGGAAACGAACCCAGGTCCTCTGCAAGAGCAGCCAGTGCTCTTAACTGCTAAGCCATCTCTCCAGCCCTCCTTCCACCTTGTTGAGGCAGTGTCTCTTCTGTTGTTTTTGCTCCTCTGCTGCATGCTTTGGGTTAGCCATCCTGTGAGCTTTCAGGAGAGTCTCCTGTCTCTGCCCCCATCTCACCATAGGAGTGCTAGGATGACAGATGTGCACCATTGAATCCATTTTTTTATGTGGGTTCAGGGCATCAAACATAGGTTACCAGTCTTATACAACTAGAACTTTTAGCCACTGAGCCATTTCTCTGGCCCAGATTCTTTTTTAAAGAAACAAGAAGTAGGGGTTGGAAAGATGGCTCAGTGGTTAAGAGCACTAGCTACTCTTGCAGAGGACCCAGGTTTTGTTCCCAGCACTCACATGGTGGCTAATAACCGACTCTAACTCCAGTTCCAGGGGATTTGGCATACTCTTCTGATTTCCAAGGGCATTGCACGACATGAGTACACTTATATGCATGCAGTCAACACACTCATACACATAAAGTGAAAAAAAAATATAAGGGTCTGGAGAGATGGCTCAGCAGTTAAGAACACTGGTTGTCAGAGGTATGTCCTCCCCAACATAGTAATGTTTCTCTTTGATCCCTTTTAACTTCAAATACATACTAAGGAAGTGGTCTTTTAATGCATGTTATACCAATGAAAAATGACAGACAGATGCTTATGTTCTAGATGCTTATGTTCTGGCTTATGTTCCAGAATTGAAGTGTGGGACTTCAAGGTGGAGTACTTTGGTGTGTCTTTACTGATGTCCCTGAAATCAGTTGCTAGAGGAAGGTGGTATTATAATTCCCCATTAGGATGTCTTGAAGATTATTAGATAAAAACGCTCAAAAAGATCTAATATTTGTGAATAGAAAAATATTCTTTTTCATCTAATTAAAAAAAACCTTTTATGTGTATGAGTGAATTGCCTGCATGTATAAGTGCACCCGTGTTGTGCAATGCCTGCAAAGGTCAGAAGCGAGCATTGGATCCTCTGGAACTAGAGTTACAAACAGTTGTTAGCTGCCATGTGGTTGTTGGGAATCGAACTCAGGTCCTCTGCAAGAGCAGCAAGTGCTCTTAACCACTGAATCATCATCTCTCTAGTCCCATGAATAAATATTTATATTTTTGAAAACAAACAAGAGCAGGCTGGGCATGGTGGTGCATGCCTTTAATTCCAGCACTAAGGGGCAGGTGGATCTCTGTGAGTTCAAGGCCAGTCTGGTCTACATAGCAGTTCCAGGCCAGCTGGGGCTAAAGGGAGACCCTATCTCAAAAAGACAGAAAAAAAAAAAAAGTAAACAAGAGCTAGGAACTAGGAACCTGGGCATGGTGGCTCATGCCTATAATCCCAGAACTGGGGAGGATGAGACAGGAGGATCACTATGGGCCTAAGGACAGCCTGGACCACATAGTGAGTCAGCCTGGGTTGCAGTGTGAGAACCTGAGGGGGGGCAGAAATAGAGAGAGATAGAGATAGAGATAGAGGAGAGAGAGAGAGAGAGAGAGAGAGAGAGAGAGAATGGTAGCTTTCATACTGAGTACTGCACTGCATCAGGCATTCCTAAGCCCTTTCCGTGTTTTAGGTTGAATCACATGAAATTGCTAGTCAGTGTCACATGGTACAATTTCTACTTATTCCTTTAACACTTGAACAACCCTAGAAATGAAAATGGGGAGTGGTAGAAAGGCAAAGAGAAACCAAGTGCCATCCATCCCCAGGGCCCCCACCTCACCCAGCCCAGTCCCTACCTTGCTCCCACACGCCTCTCTAGGGAACTGTGCAAGCTGAGGGATTCTTTTGTCATAAGACATCCCATGTGATGGCATGAACCGTCACCATGAGTGCTGAGGACAGGACATATGGCCTTGCTCTAACTCAGTTTACCCCCAGCTGAGGTTACTTCAATTTCCCAAAAGTTATCCCAGAAATGAGAGCCCCCAGAACAACTTCACTACACCAGTAAGCCTCTCCCCAACCCCACATACCCTCCCACTGATCATGGAAGCAGGACACACTCACCAGTTTCACATTTATTTTTAGAAAGTGATGAACACAAAAGAAATACATCCAGACACCACTCTCTGTACAATAAATAGCCTCCCCATCCAAAAAATAAAAATAAAAAAGAAAAGGAAAAAAGCATGTGTGCACACCATGACAAATGACCTTGCTTGGTGAAATGCACCCCCACCCCTTCCTCTGCACCCACTCTCTTGTTTCCTAGTAGGTGGACCCAGGGTCCTCTCCCCAACTCTAGTTGGCTGACTGTTATAAAAATCTGTGTATCTTTATTTTCAGGTCAGAGATTAACACAGGCAACAGAACCATTGAAAGTTAGTCCACAGGGGAAGAGAGCAGGTCTCCATTCCTGGCTTCTCCCCTGACCCTCCCACCCCACCAGAAGCCAGGAAGGCCCTCTGGGTCCAAGACCTCCTTGAGTCTATTCTGTTCTCCACAGAACCTTCCATCAGAAGCAGCACCAGGTACATGACTGTAGTTCAGGCAGAGGAAGGGGCAGGGGACACTCCTGTCACATTTCCTTACTGGCAAGGAAGCCACACGAGAACCCCAGAATCCTTCTTGGCCCCTCTTCTTCCCCAACCAATCACTACACAGGGAAGGGATGGCGGGAGCACAAGGCTTCTCGGCCCTATGTCTGTTTTCTAAGTTAGTTGGCATCCTCCAATCTAGAGGCATCTGCTCAGTTGGGAAAGTAGTTATAAAACTGGCCTTCCGCCTCCTTATCAAAAGGAGAAGGGGCCCCAGCGGGAGAGGAGCTGTCTCCACTGGAAGGGTAGGGGGATATCCGCCTTCTCTTAGAGTCTCCTTCGCCTAGTCCTGAGTCGCTGGGCTCCGGTCGGAGGGGGGTGACCTCAGTCCACAGCGAGGGGGAGCCCTGCTCCTCTGGCCCCCGTCCATCCGAGGCTCCCAGGCTAGGCTCCATGGGTAGAGTTCGCATGGGGCGGAACCAGCCTGCTGGGCTCATCTTAGGAGGGTACTGGGGAGACACAGGCCAGGCAGCCCCAGGTGCCAGGACTTCTTGGCCACGGTAGTAGGACATAGTGGGCCCAGGGGCAGAGGGCAGGAATGCAGGCTTCATGCTCACTGCTCGGAGCTCGGCCTCGTAACTTTGTTCCCGTGGCGTCCCCAGCCAGTAAGGCTGTGAGACTACATCCTTGGGCTGGCCAGGAAGGTCAGGGTAGAAGCGGCTGGGAACGGGATACTGGTTGGATAGAAGAGGCGAGTAGGGGTCCCCCCCAAGCAGTTGACAGTTGGGTCCAGGTGGAGAGGGGACACTGGTGTCAACAGATGCATACATGCTTTTTAAAAAAAGGAAGTGAGAAAACAAGTCACGTGCATGTCTCTTCCATTCCCTGTACCTCCTTCCCTGACCTACCACCCTCCAACCTCCCTCCAGGGCAGAGAGAGGACATGGTAAGCAAAGATCTACAGTCTCCTCTCAAAGAACCCTAAGGGAAGTTGAATGCAGTGGCACTTACGACTCAAAGTTCTCCCGGAATCCCTTGGCAAAGGGATTATTGTCAATTTTCAGTTGAGTGATCTAGAGGAGAAAAATAGAGTCCTCTGAGTCTGGGGCTCAGGAACTTCCGAAGTTCCTCACAGGCAGACCATGATGCCCCCTTGCCCCTCTTTACACACCTATCCCAACAAGCCCCTGTCCTGGCAGCCCTCACCTCCGCATTCTGGTAGGCAGTCACAGCAATGAACTGGGTCTCTTGGAAAGTAAAGACGTGCGTGTTAGAAGCATTGCAGGCAGCTTCTGGCTCTCCATCATTCACCTCCACAATGTGCAGCCGGGGCTGGTACTTATGGAGGGACTGCAGTACGATCATCTGGAGAGGGAGCCAGGTGTTGGCAAGGTGGAGGAGGGAGATAGAAGGACCCTCCTGTCCTCATGGTGGCCCTACAACTGGATGCCCTCTGGATCCCTTCACCCACCACTGAGCCCTACAGTGAACCCTTGAGGTCATCTCATCCCTTCCCCTGCCCTGCTACCTTGAAACTGCTCTTAAGCCTTCTAACTTCAGTCCCTAGCCTCTTTAGGGTACCCATTCTAGCCTCTTGCCTCCTTTCCTGCTCCTAGGCATCTGTTGAGAACAAAGTGTTTTCTGTATGTGTGTGCACACGTGTGCCTAAATGTGCCTGTTTGTGTGTGTGCAGGTGCACACGAAGACCAGAGGACTCAGTGGCCTGGAACTTGCCAAGCTGGCTAGACTGGCTGGCCAGTAAGCCCTCTGGGTGCCACTGTCCCATCTCCACAGTGCTAAGATCACAGGCACATGCCACTACAGCTGGGTTTTTTTTTTTCCCATGGGTTCTGGGAATCAAACTCAGATCTTTGTCTTTACAAGGCAACTTTCTTTACCAACTAAACCATCTCTCTAGTTCAAAGACTTTATTAAAAACAACAGGAGCTGGGCATGGTGGCTCATGCTTTTAATCCCAGCACTTGGGAGGCCGAGCAGGTGGATCTCTGTGAGTTCAAGGTTAGTTGGGGCTACAGGGAGACCCTGTCTCAAAAAGACCAAAACCCAAAAACAACAATAGGATTGGGGCTGAGCTGGTAAACAACAAATGCACTTGTACCAAGCCTGATGGCCTGAGTTCTCCTGGGACTCACATAGTGGAAGGAGTGGACTGATGCCAATAAATTGTCCTCTGACTTCCACATACACACCATAGCACATGTGCCCACCCCTCAAACAAAGTAAGTAAATAAATGTTAAAAAAAAAAAACCACAGAATTTTTCAATGTGAAGACACTTTGCATCCATTCCCTGGGACACCGGGACATAGTCTAGTCCTATCAAGGTGACAGGTCATGGTCTAGTGAGGAAGCCCCAGGCAGGCTTGGCCAAAGAAGACTGATAACAATCCCTACTGGAGGTCCAGCTTCCTCCCACCTCATCTTCTTCCCAGTGAGGATAGGAAAGAGCCAGAGTTCAGGGAGGAAGAAAGGGGACTCTAGGGGCTGGAGCTCTATCTTAGTTGGTAGGGTGCTTGCCTAGCATGCACAAAGTCCTGGGTTCGATCCCCAATACCTCATAAACCAGGCAAGGTAGCGCATCCTGTAATACCAGTACTCAGGAGCTAGTGGCAGGAAGGTAAGAAATCCAGGGTCATCCTTGGCTACATAGGGAGTTGAGGCCTGCCTGAACTAGAGATTTTATACATACATATATATATATAGAGAGAGAGAGAGAGAGAGAGAGAGAGAGAGAGAGAGAGAAGAAGGAAGAAAAAGCAAAAGAAGCAAAAGAACAGAAAAGAGACGAACAGTACTGAGCAGGCCCTAGGACCTCCCTCCAGAAGTGTAGGGGAGAGCTCTCAGACACAGGGCCACCTTCAGGGCTGGTAGTCCTACCTGAGTCACATTGTTGGAGGCCCCCTTGTTGTTCGTGAGCTTTAGTTTCCCAAATGAAACTTCCTGGCGCATCCAGTGGGCTCCAGTGTTGGGCGAATCTGGGTGGACGTACAGACGGTTTCCTGTGGACAGTTAACCTTATTGTCAAATAGTCCTTGAACAGACCTGGAGACTTGGGATTTTTCTGAGGGAGATGTGAGAAAGATGCGGGAAGACAGGCAGAGCAGGGGCAGGTAGGGAAGAGAACCGAGCAGGCAAGCTAGACCAAATCAGAGGCGATGACAAGCCACAGGATACAGAGTTCAGTCCTTCATGTCAGGGGCAAGGGTTTGGAGAATCCACCAGGGGGCGCCCAGTGTTGGAGAAAAAGCGCACCCATCACTCCCAAAGGGGCACATACCTGGCATGCTGCCCTCTGCTTTTCCACACTGCACCCACTTGCCACTCTGGTACCGCCAGTGGTGCTGGTCCACTAAGACTACATCCACAAACATCCTGTAATGGCTGGTGGGCTCCAGCCCCGCCACGGTGAATGACAGGAATGGGAACATTCGCCTGCAGGAACAGAGAAGCCCTAGGGTTCATCAGCCCCAGCTCAGTGGTCAGTCATGTGGAGCTGCCTCCACCTGCTCACAAGAGCCAAGTGGCAAGTATATCAGAAGTTTGTTTGCTAGTTGCTTAACACAGCTGTAAATTGAAATTTTTTTTTTCAGTCTTTTTGAGACAGGGTCTCCCTGTAGCCCCAGCTGTCCTGGAACTCACTATGTAGACCAGGCTGGCCTCGAATTCACAAAGATCCACCTGCCTCTGCCTCCCAAGTGCTGGGATTAAAGGCGTGTGCCACCACGCCTGGCTTAAAATTTTAATTGTATAAATTTAACAATTATATACAATCTACTAAAAGCCGAGGTATTCACCACTGAGAAATCGCTTCCCTGGTGCCTCACTCTGCTGCCCTGTTGCCTGTGCTTTGGAGGTTGTTTTGCCTGTTGTACCATGGAGAAGAGGAACTGATGATGGCTGCTATGCATCTTTCCCAGCTCCACGTTCAATCACATCATATTAGTGGCTGGAAATCAGGTATAGTAAGAATATTTACACCACGGGAATCGGCAAACACTATAAATCAGTTCCTACCTTTTTGTGGTGCTGAGGATTAAACCCAGGGTCTAATGTATGCTATGCAAGCACTCTGCCTCTGAGCTACAGCCCCAGCCCATAGACTTAAAAATGCTTTCCTTTTCAAAAGGTCAGTTGCTAGATATTTATCTGCATACCACCATCTCTAACGTAAGTGTGTTTCCTGGGTGGGGCAAAGGCACAAGCCAGCTCTCTGCACATAAGTCCCAGAAGGTTCTTGTACCTCGATTCCCATTCATCCTTTCTACTATGACTCTCCCTTTCTGAGCAATGCACTCCTGCCCTATGGTTCTCACCCACAGGCCCTCCCTTCCCCACACTCCTCAGCCTAACATTTATAGTATGGCTTGCTCCAGGCCTGGGCCTCCAGAAAATCAGCTAACATTCCAGGTGGACAGAAGGCTCTACTGAATTGTTCTTATGCCCAAAGTCTTGGGTTCCAGGAGATGTGGATGACTTTAGTGGGTTGGATACTGCATTATCCCATATGTACTAGAGTAAAAGATTCAGAAAAGGAAGCCCTCTCCTATAATAGCCTCTCCACTACTTCCACCAGCACTACCCCCATTACCACTATCATTACAACCACCATCTCTACTATCACAACCACCACGACTCTCACCACTATCTCCACCATCACTACCACTATCTTCATCATTACAACCTCTAACATCTCTATAGCGATCCACAGTCATCATCACTATCAGTACCCCACCATGATTACAACTGCCTTCCTTCTAACCACCATCTCCATTATCTCCACCACCAGTACAGCCACCACATCCACCATCTCCACCATCATTTCAGCCACCACATCCACCACCTCCACCATCAATACCTACTACCACCTCCACTGTCCATACACCCACGACCTCCACCATCTCTATCGTCAGTACAACCACCATCTCTGCCATCTCTCCAACCACTACCTCCACCATCACTCTAGCCACACCTTCACCACAGCCACCATTACTCCAGCCACTGCCTCCACCACCTCCATCATCAATACACCCACCACCTCACCTCCACATCTCCACCATCAATACCCCCACCACCTCCACTGTCCATATAACTACCACCTCCACCATCTCTACCATTAATATAATCACCATCTCTACCATCTCTCCAACTACCACCTCCATCAGAGCTACCTCTTCCACCATCACTCTAGCTATACCTTCACCATAGCCACCAACACTCCAGCTATTATCTCCACCATCTCCACCATCACTATAACCACCAACTGCATCATCTCCGCCATCACCTCAGCCACCATTTCCACCATTATCATCACTACCATTATCCTTCCATCATCACAACCTCCTTCCTCCAGCTACCATCTCCTACAGCATTATAGTCATTGCCTTCACCATCACAACTGCCACCACCAGCCTCAGGGCCATCACCAGTTCCAGTGACTGAGCTCTCTCTTCATTCCCCAGCAGGAAGAGCAGGATTTTCAGAACAGTAGAGTCAAACCCTCGTTTTAAGTGCTTTTCATTCCCATGACCCTTCTCTCTGTAGGCGATGTAGGATGGAAAAGTACTGGTTTCTCAATCAGGAAACCTATAGCCAAGGCTAGCCTTGAACTTGAAGTGTACCTAAGAATGACTTTGAACTTTTGATCTTCATGCCTCTACCTCTAAAATGCTGATATTACAGATATGCACCACTATACTCAGTTTATATAGTGTTGGGGATCAAACCCAAGGCTTTGTGCATTCTAAACAAGCACTCTACCAACTTAGCTATATCCCCAGCCCAAGGATTAAGTCTTGAAAAACTGAAGTGGAGAGAGTATTTTCAACATATTTCTCTCGATAACTTAGTCTAGGACAGTGGTAAGATCACTCAAACCATATTTTCTGGGGCTGGAGAGATGGCTCAGTGGTTGAGTGCTTACTGTCTTTCCAGAGGACCCAGGACCTGGGTTTGGTTCCCAGAACCCACACCAGGAAGTTCACAACTGCCTAGAACTCCAGTTCCAGGAAGCTCAACTCTGGCTTCCCTGGGCACCTGCATGCACATGGTGCACATAAACTCACACAGGAGCACTTACATACACATAAGTAAAAGTAAACCTTAAAAAAAAACAAAACCCATATTGTAGCCGGACATGGTAGTCCACGCCTTTGATCTCAGCACTTGGGAGGCAGAGGCAGGCAGATCTCTGTGAGTTCAAGGCTTAGCCTGGTCTACATAGTGAGTTCCAGGCCAGCTGGGGCTACAGGGAGACACTGTCTCAAAA